TGGTGTGGAAGATGATTTATTTGGTGGTAGTTGGAATCAGCTTTTATCAGATCAGGCTACTGAACGTGCCATTAGAATCCAGAAAACAACTCATTCTGACCATATGAATTCAGGAGAAGTAGTTCCAGAAAATGGGATTATAAATGATTCGGATGAAGATGTAAAATGGATGGAAACGGTAATGATTGGAACTTCGTTGCTGTAATTCTCTTTATTGATGACTTGGCTTTGTTGGGGATGGAGGAAACTGAACATAACAGCCTCTGTTTTGGAAAAGGCTGGGTTTGCCTTTGCCAACTGTGTCATGAAATGATTGACTGATGTTTCTATACTTAAGATGGTCATTCCTCTAACCAATGATTTCAAAATGTGCAGTTATTCCATTTTGTTATTTCTTCGCTGAAGTCAGGTAGATCATTGTATTTGATGGAGACAATTGTCGGCATTCTTTATCCCGTAATCTCATTACAGGTGCAAAGTGATTTCTTGCTTGTCTTCTTTTCCTTCCTGTATGTTTAGACTTATCTGCTGATGGTCATCCTTTTCTGTTCCAGTTGGACCTGTAAATGTCTCATTAGTTTAGTGGTAATGTCACTGGCAGTATAGCTAGTATTTAAAAAGATGAAAAAATGTCAAAAATCTGGTTAAAATGGTCTTGCATTGGTCATAGGATAATTGTCATAATTCTATACTGTGATTGCTGACTTGCTATATCCTCTTTTATCTTTTCTAGGTTTCTCTCATCTGTATTAATGTATGAATAAAGCTCTTATATCGTAACTAGCTATCTCATTGCCTTTTCGTCTTACGGTAAAGAGGAAAGGGTCGAAGAACCTTTATGTCACTAATCTGTATCTTTACACATCAAACTATGTAGTGGAGATTAGGTGAACTCTGATTTCTAGAGTCCTGTGAAAATTTTGATGATTTGAGCATGTCAAATAAGGTTTATCTTTGGATTTTGAAGGATACATCAAATAAAGATTTATCAACATTGGCAAAGGCTGCTTTCTCGTTGTTAAAATGGAGTGTCTTTAGAGAACCACATCTCCAAAAGGCTGTTGCTGTTATCCTTAAGTCAGCTAATGATTCTAATTGGCGGATCAGATCTGCTACATTGACATATCTTCGAACATTTATGTATAGGTAATGTTGAGGCAATGTCATGCATGAGTTTTTCTGATCATAATTATTTATATGGTCAATTTCATCCGTTTTACTCATAACAGGCACAGTTTTGTCCTTTCACATGATGAAAAGCTACAGATTTGGAGAACTGTTGAGAAGTTACTCATTGATAGCCAAGTGGAGGCAAGTTCCTTTGTTCTTATAAATTACAATATTTTCTTTTCCCGGTGGGTTTTAATTGTAAACATGCTCATGCTCAATTTGTGCACCAAGAACAGGAATAGAATCAGCAGACAGATGTTTCTAAAGCAGGGATGTATTGGGGTTGTCTTGACATTATGATTCTAAGGAGAGAGAGTTTATATGATATATTGCCTTTTTTTTTTTTTTTTTTTTTTTTGTGTTCCAAACTTAGCAAATTCTGTACAACAGAAGCAATTTATGCTGGTGGTGCCTGGTTAAGATGTGTTTTTTTTAGTAAACTGTGTGGAAGGAATATTATGAGAGATAAGATCATGAAAAGAAGTATAGACATGGAAACACACTTGGGGTTGGGGAATTAAACAATTATCACCAGTTGCAAGTTTGTGACATATTAAGAGAATTATTGAAGGGTTCTCCTCAAGCTTAGTAGTATTGGACACTTGAATTTCTTTCGTACATATTCTTAAAGACCGAATTTTTTGCAAGTTTGTTAGAGTGATTATGTATAATTGTTTCCTTCCAAGTTATCTACAGCATACTCGTTGCTTGTTTTCCTTCTTGTTTTGTATACTTGTGGCTCACATGGCCGCCTTGTGTAACATGCAAAGGATGGGTTACTAGGTTAACTCGTATAACCTCTTCTATTCTTTGATTGCTTCACATCTAAGTTAGTCTCTCTAATGTTCACTGCTGCATCTCATTCTTTGTATCTCTGTTATCCAGAATTTTATCATGCTTAACCCAGCTATTGTACGTAGTTCATAGCTGGAATGTTTTAACATAAATGAGTAAATAACCAACATCTGGAATCATGTAACATGAGGAGTTGTATAACTCTTGGGATATATTCACTTTCAATTTGTGTGGCAGCTTTCACACAAGGCACTTTGCAGGCTATATCCCTTCTCTAGCTCAGCTATTATGCTTAGGTCCTTTGTTTGATCACATACATCCATTGATACTTTTGTGCAATTGCTCCAAGATACTCAAAAGCCTTGCATTGAATTATACCTTGTTCACTTGTTAATTGTGTGTTCTTCTATTCTGCTTCTAGTCTCAGCAAATCTGACTTTTATGTTGTAATTTTTACGGCATGATTATATTGTGTTTTATTTTTCTCCTGATAATTAATTGGTTTCAGGTACGAGAGCATGCGGCGGCAGTTTTGGCTGGGCTAATGAAGGGTGGAAATGAAGTTCTTGCAGGAGACTTCCGCGAAAGGGCGTATACAGAGGCAACTCTTATTCTCAAGAAGAGAAAACAAAGGTTGGATCTTTGATAAGCCTTTGGTTTGAAATTTGTCTTCTGTGAATTTTTGTTGTGTATTTCTCTCATTCTACTTAGGTTGTGCATGTTTTCATTGTATTGAGAGGATTAAGGTGGTCTCTGGTATCTGATGAGATTCAGCTCTTGAATGAAAATTATATCCTTTGCATCATCTTGTTTTCATTATAACCTCGGCCGGTGATTGTTCATAATGTGTAATTGTTTAGATGGTCTTCTAGCTTCGTTTCTTCTTGCTTTGGATGTTGAGAAGTTCTTAACGAGCAGAAAATTCTGCTAGCGATTATCATAATTTATGTATTTCGTCATTGTTTTTCTTCTATTCTATCTTATATCGATGTGGTCAAGTCTTATATGATTAAATGTTTCAGAACTGCCTATGAATACTTAATGGTGCATCTGATGCACCAATTCTTTCAGGTGTCAGTGCATTTTTTGTTAAATATGTTATGTAAATGCACTTTTAACCTATTATCTCTTTGTGAAACAGTCGAAGAGATGGCTATTCTGTTGCTTCTGTTCATGGTGCTGTGCTTGCGCTGGCAGCTGGTGTCTTGTCTGTTCCATATGATATGCCAAGGTAAATATGGAAGTTCCTAATTTAGAATTTTTCAAATGTTGCTGCCAAATTTTATAATCTGCTGCCATAATTTTGGAGATGTCTAGTTTCCATTTTACTGTCTAAAAGAGGGGTACTGAAGTCTAAATGCTTTATGTTGCTTGTAAATTCTCTTCAGATTCAGTTCTTTATTCCTTTGAAGGGATATATTCTCTCTTTAAGTTCTCTCCTGCTGGAAGTCATTTGTATTAAGGGTTCCAATTCCATTTGTTTTGTTTCTACTGATAATTCATCTTGAAATACTAGGATCCAACTTGTTATCATTGATGCTTACTATAAATGAACCTTTATGGCAAAGAATATTAGTCAATTGAAATAAAAGAAAAATAAGTAAAAAGGTTTCTCACATTCTCATTAGTCATACAACAAATCGATGATTCAAATAAGTTGAAAGTTTTCCGTTGGTCATGCAAATTAATAGATGATTTAGAACTCGGTTGGTGCCTTATTTTTTGTAAGTCGGGGAAAAATAAAACGAAATGATCTATTAGTCACTGAGAAAGAAACACAGTACGTGGGTCATTTATAAAAAAAGAGGGGGGAGGGGAGTAGATATAAAATCCTTTTCAGCAAATTAGTTTTATACCATAATTACGAGACAATTGGGAAGGGATGAAAGATACAGTTATATTTTAGCTATTCAATTTTGTTTGGAAATTACGACTTCACTGTTGAGCATGGTAAATTGAGACATCATCGAATTTATACATACAGTTAGGAACAATTCCGCTTAAATAAGTTATACATACAGTTAGGTAAATGCTTCGGCCTGAGTTTGAAAAGTCTGAAGAATTTGAAACAGAGAAAATATATTAATCTGTAGAAAGTTAGGTTAGTAAATTTTTGCCTTACTGTATTTTGGTGATTTTTAATCCTTTTTTGTATATTAAATATATTTGCCGTGTAATCTATTAGCCAAATTGTAGTTTTGGGTGTAATTTAATCATATGAACTACACTTACAAGATTCAAACATGCTCAAAGAAGAGAAAAAATTATATTAGCACGGAGAGAGAGTTATTGAGTTGCTGCAAGAGAAGCTTTGTCCATGTAGGTTGCAGTTCCAATATATCCTCACCTATGTCCCTGGGTTGCACTACATTATGGCAAAATTCTGAGTGTGCAGACTAATTAGGGGTTAAATGCCCTTACAAATCCTTTTTTTAAATTTTTATATTTATATGTCAACAAAAATACAAAATAGGTCTCAGCAATTTTTTCTATTACTCTGAAATATGGGGATTGGTTGACTTCGGTCTCTGGTGATTTAATATATGCATCTGCCTCTATTTAAGTTGCAGTTGTAAGAGCTTGATTTTGGCTGCATTTCTGTGGTCTTTTGACTTGAACGAACCATGGTTGTTAAATTTAATCTTTTGTTTCAGTTGGTTGCCTGAGCATGTTACCTTATTGGCTCGCTTTGTTGGTGAACCGTCACCTGTGAGATCAACTGTTACTAAAGCTGTTGCAGAGTTTCGAAGGACTCATGCAGACACATGGAATTTTCAAAAAGATCAATTTACTGAAGAGCAGCTAGAGGTATCTGAGTTTTGTAGTTATTAAATTTCTACTGACTAGACCTTTCAGCAGACATTGTTCGATACCTCAAAAAATGATATTGTTTAATATTATTGTATCTTTCCCTAACCGCAAGCTTACATCTACTGTTTACCACATTGCAGGTTCTTGCTGATACATCATCCTCATCATCGTATTTTGCTTGAACTTTCACTCACAGGATTAGGCTATAGATGGGTAATTATATATATTCGTCCATAAATGTAGCTTATTTACAGTTGTAGTATCAGGTTGAAGATTAATGAAATACATTATTTCTAAAAGACTGGCTATGCAATCTCCTCCCCCCCCCCCCCCCCCTTCTTCTATTTTTTCCCCCTTTACTATCTGGGAAAGTCTAGACCATGGGGTTCATTAGGTCATTGGATGGTAAATCCCACAAGATACTGTCGGTACTAAATATGCTGGATCCATTTCTAATCTCCTTTCCACCTTCAGACTCTTCTCCATTTTCATCTTCGAGTTTCAAGTGCCCTAGTTGGTCTCCTGCTGTGGAGCACATGCTTTGGTTCCATGGTGATCCATCTTCTTCAGCAATGTAAGCAGATTGACCATACTGAAAAGCAGTAAATGCATTACAGCCCCCATTGACATGAGTTTGTGTTGCTCCTACAGTTGTTTCCCAAGGCTTGTTTGAGATTATCATGTCTGGCTGCTGTATTGCCCTTGATAATCCAAGTTTGATCTTCTCTACGGTATCTTCCTTGGCGTCTGGCTTAGTACTCATACCATATGTGGCATTCATATTTCCTTGTGAACTGCTAGGTTGCAGCTGGAAGTCAATTCGCTTCTTGGTGAGGAGATGGAGCATTTCATCCTTGAAACACCCAAGGGCTGCCTCAGTTAGATTGGCAACCTGTGGGGGTCCTAGTGTGGTTGCAATCTCAGCCATTAGGTGAGAGAAAGACTTGTGCGTAACTGGATCAATTCCCATGCCTGTTAACTTCTTCTTTAGCTTGGTATTCCAATGGTTTTTGACATCATTATCAGTGCGACCAGGAAGTTGAGCAGCAATGAGTGACCATCTGAAAAATAAAAATTCCTAGGTTATGCATCAGAGATTACTGCAGTAGTGTGGGAAAAAGGACCTTTAGGATGTGGTTTGTGTTGGTACCTGTTGCCCACAACAGCATGAAGCTTCATTATGGTTTCTTCTTCTGCTTGGGAGAACTGGCCATGCTTAAGGTCAGGTCTTAGGTAGTTTGTCCATCTCAGCCTACAACTCTTTCCGCACCTTTGGAGACCTATGTATGTATGGATTGGCAATGGTTAATGAGAACACAATAAGTCGGTAACAATGATTGCAAGTGCTATCCAGGGTTTGGTTTATCAGTTGAAAAAAACAAAAAAAAAAACAAAAACAGAGTAAAGATAGAGAATCTAACCAGCATTCTTAGGAATAAGACGCCAATTACGGGTGCCATGTTGGGCGATGTAGGAAGAGAGTTTGTTGTCTTCTTCGGGAGTCCATTGGCCTCGTTTTACGTTTTCCTTCTCGCAGCAAGGAATTCTACCCATGTTTGATGTGTTAAATAATGGTGGGTTATATTGAAGAAACAGGGAAAGCTTGGTGTGGTAGCTAGTTAGGGAGCTGAATTAGTGATAATAGCAGTGAGTAATAAGAATTAAGGAAATCGAAAAAGAAAAAAGAGTAGAAGAATTGGTATAATAGCGAAAAAGAGAAAAGATTAAGAAGTGTTAATAAGAAAAAGGTAATTAAGAAATAGTACTATATAGGGTGAAGGAAAAGAGAGAGTAATAAGAAAAATGAAAGAGGAGGTGAAGAAAAGAGCAGGAAAGGTGCATGAGTTGATTAAAGAATTCAACGCCATTGAGAGTGTGTGAGAGGAGAGGCTGGTAGCTCACCCACAAGACACCTGGTCAACACACACATCACACATCATACAACACAACACATCTCTTCTCTCTCTCTCTCTTTCTCTTTCTCTCTTTCATTTATGGATTTCTGGGATTCATTCTTGCACGAGTGTGTTAGTTGGCTTTCAGATTTCCCATCATACTTTCTTTCTCTTGTTTCCTCATCCACACGTGCGGCGGTTATTTTGTCAGTTTTCTCCCTATATACTTGGCGGGTAATCTTGGGCTGCCAATCATTACATAATAATACTATTTCCTGCCTTCTTCAGATTACAGTAATACTTTATTTGTTTGCTACGATTATATTGCTGCGAGTTTAATGCGTATATGAGATTACCTCTGAAATACTTACTGTCCCATAAACATGAACATAAAACAGATAGTTGGGATATGTCATGTATATGTATAACTAGGTTCCATTAGGCAAAGCTCAGCTTAACTTAATGTGTCGACTTGTCCTGCACCTAATGTCTATTAGAGGTTTATTTGTCTTACAAACTCAATGCCTATTATTTGTCGCTTAGGAGTACAAGTGTTGCATGGTATGAAGTGAATAGCAGTCCTCTACTTAATTCATTGTCAGGGAATTTCTGAGCAAACCATCTATCAACAATGCAAGCAAATCTTCCAGTGTTTCCTTTCACTGATCACTACTAAGGTAACTCTTAACTTAATTTTGCATTTACAAGACCACCAATCGATCCTGATAGAGCAAATATTGTAACCACTAAGCAAACATATGAGAAAGTTCTTAGAGCAATCCACCATCCTGTCCATGCTTCAATATTTCTCTGCTTCAAGTACATCTCGACGGGGAAATAGATTGACAGAGGCCAAAAGATGAGAGCTCCAAGGATCCCCAAGACTTGGTTGAAATAAGGGAATGCTACTGCTAGGATGGTAGTGGATGCAACATAAGCTGTTCGAATACACAGCCTGTAAAGGTTCACTCTAAGAGGTGGCAACAGTGGAAGCTTCAATGTGTGTGAATGGTGGAGAAATTCATTGTCAGGGAATTTCTGAGCAAACCATCTATCAACAGCTGCAAAGAGTGGCTGGCTGAATACCTACAAAGGCAGATAATGCAATTATATGATCAATATCTGATAAATTTAAGTAGGTAATTTAAAAACTTGGAATGTAATATACCTGATATCCTCCAACTAGATGAAGAACAATGCAAGCATTAGCAATGTCAATCAGCCAGTATGGCTCATAGAATCCTGTCATAAGATTCCCGGGAGTATCAACTCCGAAAGCAGCATAACCAAATCCTCCACAAAGGAGATAAAAGAAGGTGGTCAATGCAACAGAGATTGTGGAAGCCTTCTTCATGGTCTCGTTTTCTGACGGGGGAGATTTCAGAGTATCCTTGAATTCAAATCAGATCCAAAAGAGTTAAACTTTTGTTCAAGCCTTTTATTATACTTCTTATACCTCACATATCATTATATCAAACATATTTCAGGACAAAAAAAAAAGGAAGGGGGGGGGGGTAAAACTAACACACCTGAATCTCAATAAGAATCAAGGAGTATGGGTAGGCAAATGCTATATCACCTACTCCTTGTGCAACCAGCCATACTTTTTCCATGACAGTTGCGGTGGGTATTCCTTCTATGCTCCCCTTAATCATACCATTTTCTGGAGCAATTAACAGTTCAAAAAATAAATGATACTTGCACATTACTAAAGCACAAATTTACAACGAAGAATTCTTCACAGTATTTCAGAAATACTAGCATGTACAAAGTTGTGTGGTAGTATAAGTACCAATAACACGAGCGATTCCAAGTCCGAGTACAATGAGGGAATAGGTGAAAGACATGATAGCAGCAACTAGTGAAACCCATTTAATGTCATGCATATTTGGTATCTGTGACATAAAAATCTGTACAAAGCCAAAGATTAACATGTAATAGGCATCCCCAAAATTGCAGGCTGCCTGATGCCCTTGCTTGTGATAACAGTTTGATTCCTGTATTGCTCTGCCAATTAAGATGAAGACAGGTACACATAACAGTAAGATGATACTTGAGAAACAGAAAAGCTGTACAGTATGTATGTTAATGTAACAAGTAAAGAAGCTTAGTACCTGATGCTGATAGCAGAAGTGATAGTATAAGCAATTCCAATCCCATATAAGTTAATATGAACAAAGAAACCGCATAGCCAAGCCCTGGTTTCTCCCAAATTAGAGTAAACAGCTTCAAGGTAAGACGGATTTCGGACAGGGCCGTGTTCAGGGTCAGGAGACCAGTAACAGTTACATAGGAGAAATGCAGAAAGGAGTGTAATGAAAGCGAACACGAGCATTGCAATGGGACCTGCTATCCAACCTAACTGACTCAAACTCCATGCCAAAGATAGTACTCCTGACCCGATCACTCCTGTTATTATGTGTGCTACTGCAGACCATAATGTCCCTGCAATTTTTTTTTCGAAAGATAAATACTTGATGATATATATGCAAATCCTTCAAAGATGATAAAATATTTACCAGTCCTCTTGTGGGGATGTCGTCCTCCTTGTCGTGTTCCGGATGATTGTTGGAGTAATAAAGGGGTGTTTTTACTATCTCCATCTTCTCCCATTCGATCAGATTTTGTTGAGAATATGAATGGAGTTGCTTTCTGTTAGGAATAGGCCTTTGGATCAATTGCTAGAAAAGGAAATCACTCGTTTTTTTTTCCGGAGAACTCTAGAATTCTGGTGAAAGCAGGAAACACAACTCAATGAACTCGTATCAATGTCTCTCTCCAATGATAGGGTTAGATTTTAGTTACGTGTATTATTTTTGTTTCAATGAGTTACGTTTGTTAGCGACTATTCTTATTATTCTAGTACTCACCTTTATTTCATCGACACTTGTAGAAGCAAGTCAAGTATTCCAGTTTTTTCAGTTGTCCATTGCTTTCCATTATGATTCCAGCCATCCATTATAGCACAAATGTCTGTCGTTTAATAATCTCAACCTTTCTTCCACCATACAGACTTCAAGAATTGCCTTTAGACAGAGTACTACGGAGTATTTCATATTTTTTGGTGCTGCTAATTTTATATTCCGTACAGGTTTTGTCTTTTGCAAATCACGACAAAAATCAAAGAAATATATTTAGTTGATCTACGAATACAAGTTGTGATCTATATACCATTAATGATACATACATAATTTTCCCATGATAAATTAATGACACCATCTATAAAGTATACCCACTCGAAGTTATCACAATGATAAATAAGGGATAAGATGAACAAGTACATGGTACATCCCTATGATAATCAAGATGAATAACAATCTTTTTCTTTGTGTTTTACTTAAATAAATTCTTCTCAATTAGTCGAGTTAATTCTCATTGTTACCAAAGTGTTTACATTATGGAGAACGGGTTAATGTATAGATAGATAGATGAGAATGCAACCGCTGTCTTCATTCTAATTTGGCACTCACAAGCCCTTCCACTGATCCAACTAATGCAACTACACTAACCAGTAAGCAAATAACACTAAATGTTCGGAGTAAGATACCCTTTGTTGTCCAAACATTCATCTTTTTCTGGACAATGTACATTTCTACTGGGAAATATATGGCCAAGGGCCAAAAACCTATGGCCCCCAGCAACCCCAAAATCTGGTTGAAGAACGGGAATGTCATTGCTATCCCTGTTGTTGATGCAACATAAGCCGTTCTGAAACACAGTCTGAGTAGGCTCACTTGAACATCAGTGGCCAACAGCGGCAGCTTCACTGAATGGAAATCATTCACAAACCCGCTATTGGGAAACTTTTTAGCAAGCCCTCTTTCCACAAATGCAAATACTGGTTGACTATAAACCTACAACATACCACAGACAACTGAATCTCTCTTTAGAGTTCTTGATCATTGCCATAATTCTATCACATTAGTGTTATATCATATGTATAGCTGATATACAGAATTTCAATAAAAAGTACTAATTACGTACCTGATATCCTCCGACAAGATGAACAACTATACAGGCGTTGGCAAAGTCAATGAGCCAATAAGGTTCATAGAATCCAAACCCTGTCATAATATTACCAGGTGTATCATTCCCGAAGGCTGCATAACCAAAGCATCCACAAGTGAGGTAGAAGAAGGTGGTGATCAAGACAGCTGCCATTGAGGCCTTCTTCATTGTTTGATTTTCCGGTGGAGGGGACTTCAATGTGTCCTACACTCCCAACCCACAGTACTACATCTCATTAATTAGCAAAAAACATATATTCCTTCATTTTAGACACTAATCAGGTACAAATCAACCTGAATTTCTAGAACAATGATTGCATAGGGGTAGGCAAAAGCAATGTCTCCAATTGCTTGAAATGATAAGCTCAATTTCTTAAGAGTAGAACTAGCTGGAACTCCACTAATACTTCCCTTAATTGCTCTATTTCCTGCACTTTCCATGAAATTAATATGAGAGCAATTTAGCAATGTCTGTGAGTAGGAAAGCCAGCTACTGTACGTAGTAATAAAAGATCAATGAAATATATGGGATTGATTACCAATCACGGTAGCAAAGCCGAGCCCCGATCCAATGGTTGAGTAGGCAAATGACATGATGGCAGCCAAGATAGAAAGCCATTTCATGTTGTGGAAATCAGGTATCTGAGACATTATGATCTGAACACATCCAAACAGCAGCATGTAAATGCCATCTCCATAAGAACAAGATGCTTGGTGCCCTTCTTTATGGTAGCAGTTTGATTTTTGAATAGCTCTGTATCATTGGATTTTATTCAAGTGGATCAGAGACTCAGAAGAGGATAGACTAGCTTGCTTAATTAGACTGATTCTGTACCAATGAACTAACAATTAAGCTAATAAATATAAAACATCCTTTTTCAATGATTCATAGCTCTATCCCCCTTGCTTCTGACCAAGGAAATTGATCTAAAAAGAAAAAAGAAAAGGTTGTCCCTAAGCATGAAAAGACTATACGTTAGCTCAGTTAAAATTAGGAAAGTAAGGAGTGTTGTGCCCCTGATTATTTGTATACCTGATGCTGATTGAAGTAGTGATTACATACGCAACAGCGGCACCATACAAGCTTAGATATTGTAGAAAACCACAGAACCATAGCTGTTTCCTTCCTGTACAGTCACTTAAAGACAATCAATGCACTTAGCTTGCAGATTAATAAAAGTTTCACACTTCCTGCTGATGCATTAGTAGTTCAGTATGCAGATGGTATAGTAAAAATGTAAAATGGAAACAACTAGCACTTTTTTTTTTTGGTAAAAAGGTTTGGATGAGGTAGGGTATATATTTGGATACCAAGTATGGTTGAAACAGCATCCATGTAGGATGAGTTGCGGACACCAGTTACAGGGTTGGGAGACCTGTAACAGTCAGATAGGAGTGATGCAGATACGTAAGTAACGAATGCAAAGCAGAGCAAAGAAAGCGGGCCAACAACCCATCCTAGTTGGGAGGTACTCCATGCCAAGGAAAGAACACCGGATCCGATAACAGCCGTTATTATATGAGCAATGCTCGTCCACAGAGTTCCTGTTAAGTTGAGGATAATTGCAGACTTAAAAGACAGTACTGAAGGCAGGTACTCAGGACAGTTGAAATATTATGCATAGAAATAAGTGGGATTGGATTGTAAGATTATTACCGACTCTCTTTCTAGCATCATCATCACAATCATAAGAGAAGGTGAAGGTGGAAGTGGAAGATATCTCTAGAGAAGTGTTATTTGCCATCCGATCAATAAAATTCCTGGTATAATAATTTGGTAAAAGTTGGATTTACTCAGCAATCTGCACTCAGAAGTAGTGATATGAAACTATCTAAGGTGTGTAACAGTATAGAGGCAGGGTTATTAGTTAAGGGCTTAAGGCCATTATTAATCATACAAATATAACTAGTATGGGCTTGCAACTTGGGAGTGTAGTTGGTGATAAGTCTCAATCTCCGATCTCACTGCACGGTCCATAATTGAGCATGTACTCGTAATAATTAATGGTCCTATCTACATACGTACTACTCTACTCTGGTCTCAACGCATCTGATCCATCAGAATTCAAGATGCCATTGCATATACTACGTATTAGTCAAAGTTTTACTGCTCTTCGTCGTCTCTTTTACTGCTGTCTGCCTTGGCCTAAATTTTTTACTGTTTGTTAGTTCTTATCTTGTTTTAAAACGTTAAAAGTATAAATATAATTACATATGCAGGGTTGGAAATTCGGCAACTAACTCAAATATAAGCCTAAGCCAAACAGATGGTTAAAACCCAAGATTAATTTATATACTCTAACATGCAATATGATAAACTAGCAATGCGGAAATTATACTTCTCATGGTAGAAGGGAACATTTTTAACTACCTTGTATTTAAATACTCGGTGTACAAATTGAAATTAAAACAAAAAGGAGGAAGTGTGACAGAGTACACAAATCGTCTTGTTTCATTAGATATTTGTGAATGGCATTTTGCTAATTGTTGGAATTGGAATGCACATATATAAATTGTCATCTTGGACTTTCCGCATAATATAAGCATCAAAATACACTACAAAATTAGCGACTTCATTCACCTAAACAAAATTAGGACAATCATCGGTGGAGTAGAATATGAATTGTCAAACACAAACACAAACACAATACGAGGCGCTTATTGCTTGATATATTTTTTCAAATTATCAAAAAAATTCAACCAGTTATTTACTTGCATTATCAAAACACCAAAGTAAAACATAAGTGACGATTGTCAATTAAGGTGGATAAACAATTGACAACAAAGAAAACAAAAACTCATATTCCAATTGAAGAAAACAAAAACTCGATCATATTCCAATCAACCAAATTACCAAACTGTAACCGACATATAGCCCTTGATTCCCCTTACTTCTTTTTGGGAGTTTTTGTCTTCTTAACCTTCTGCGCTTGTTGTTTCTTTTCTGTAGTATCAGCATCAGTAACAGTAGCAGCCGTAGAAGGAGTTGCAAAGTCAGGGGTCACATCCTCTTTCGGTTTCTCCAAAATACCTTCTTCACCACCTTCACTATCTTTATCTCCATCCTTGTTGCCAACTGTTTCCTCCTCCTCGTCCCTCCCATGCTGTTTTTGCTGCAGATACTCTGCAGCCGCAGCCGCATACACGCCCTCGTCGTCCTCCTCTTCCTCCTTTGTCATCACAGTATCTTCTGCTTTCCCAGCACCGTACTGGTGGTGACCATGTATGTAAAGGCGATGGCGGATGGAGCGAAACACCCAATTTAAGGTAGAAATGCCAGCCAAAGCCATGACAGCTGCAAGAGAAAAGCCTGCAATACAAGTGACCAAAATGAAAGTTGGTATTATCAACAGAGGACTACATATAACCATGATTGGGAACCCAATCACTGTCAGACTCAGTGTTACTGCCATTGTTATCCCCATTACCACCAACAGTGGACCTCCTACCACCACCGCTGCCGCCGTCGCACCAACCACTCTTCTTAACCACCCAAATGCTGTCTTGTCTTCATCATAACTATTACTAGTACTGCTACTACTAATTGGTATCATCCTTTGTTCATCACTTGCCATTTCCATATTACTTTTGGTTTCTTTCTTGTAACAAACAAACTCTCACAAGTAACTAAATACTACCAAGTTAGCATATACTTGTGAGTTGGTGGCTTGATGCATGTAAGTTTCAGCTAAAAACTAACGCAGCAACCCTTGAATATTTATTTATTTTATGATATAATGAATATAATAGGCCTTTGTAAGTGACAAGTGGTATACACAAACATGCATAGCTGAATGCCTCGCAGGTCTCCGTGTCATTTAACCCTGTATACGTGGCATCTAACGCACCCCTTTTATGCATGCTCCCTTGTCTTTTACTTTCCAGAGCTTTTTATTTGATCCTATGTTGCTCCTAATTAGTAATTACTTTGGCTAAATTTATTTTGACAACTTATTTGAATAAAAATGCAATAGTTTATTATAATAATAACTTCAAACTTTGTGTACACCAGCATACATTAACAACAATTTAACTAAATCCTACTATATGATATGTTTATTCTTATATACCAAGTATTAACGGAAAAATACCCTCACTTCAGTATTTATTTTCAATTCCAGGGAACACTGTAAAATATCCTTCTAGCTATTAAGATGCAAATAAGATGTGCATACACTCTTCTATGCAAGGTTTAGATCATGTCAGAATCGGAAAGATTAAGAACAACAAGAACAAGTTACTCGTATAATAACTCAGGCAAATTCGATGTACAATGATTTCTTGAATTGACCCTTTGATCGATCTAGTAGCAAATAGGGTTTGCTTCATACCAATTACCTAACTAGCAGATGTTGCAACTTATTGAACCTGGCATTATAATCTAACCTGATGCTGTCCTTGAAGAAATTCATCGTCCATTGCATAATCTAGCAGCATCCACAACAAAGTTTTAGCTGATTAGATCTCATCATCCAATTTTTTTTCGTGGAAAACTGATTTCCCAGGAGCAACATGAAGATCTCCCGTCGTGTATGTAATGCTGAGTACATAAATTTTTCATATTTTTTCGTTTACAATTCAATTCTGATATTCCAGAGGTACAATTCCTTTTCAGGAGTTCTTAATGTTAAGGTCAGTAACCCAGAGGCCTTCTCGTAATCAAAATCTATTTCTTCATCATCTACGCAAATCTTCTTTGGTGGGATTGAGGAATATGCCCCAAATGCACCACAACCGCGAACTTTCAGGCTAATAACAGCGTTTCCTTCTGCCTCATACTGTAAGGCCTTAACTGCACCTCCAGAGTTAAACATTTTAGTCAGCCCAATTGGGGCAAAAATGACACCATTTGACAGCTGCTTTGCAGGAACCACTGTGAAAACTTCATATTCTTTGGCCTTCAATGTGACAGGAAGTGATGCATTTTCAGGAAGATAAACAACCTCTCCTGCAATAAAATTATTTGAAGTAGAATTGCATAAGCCATCTTCAACATTTCACCAATTAATTTGACTTCTACAACTCTGAAGTAAACCATGAAACTGATTTCTCTAAAAGACGTACCTCTAAGATGACTATATACAACACAATCTCCATTCCATCCAGCATCAACAATCTTATTAAGATAATTTACATCACGAGCTCTAATGACATCAGTAACTGCATCAGGTTGTTCGTCGTGGACTACATTTCTCTTTCCATCCTTACACCAGCCAGCTCCTTGGCAGTTGAAAGCCCCAATCACCCCAGTGTAATCATTCATGTTCCATATTTTCAGAAGACTGGAGTATGTTTCATCACAGGAAAAAGTCATTAAATACAGACAAACAGCACAATGAGAAGAAAACAGGATCACGTACGTTTAATGTGTTAGGATTTGCCTCAAGGTGGCAGCAAATTACCTTTTACCGTCTCTAGTAGGATCAGTGAACAAGCTATCCCTGGTGGGTCTGCCAGGCAGTTTGGCCCTCAATATAGAACCATCAGGAAGTACAAGCTTTCTCAGTAAATCAAAATCATGGTGTCCAGGTTTGTCACTGGATAAATCAACCAGGAAATCATAAATATAGTCATATGGAAAAAATCTAGACTGATAAAAAAGAGTGGTTGTTATTCAATTGATTCAAAATGCAATAACATACCTAACATAGATTGCACAACCACCGACTGCACGAGCTGCTCCATGGTATTCAGCCATAGGGTGCAAGCTCTGCCATGGAAAATTGCAATTTCAAGTTCAATCCAAAACAAAATTGAGGATAACAGAAAGACTAGGGAAAAAAGAACCACACTGCATGAACTTACATGAAACATATCCCAGTCTGGCTGCATAAACTCTCCAAGGAAAACTGTATTGTATGCAACTGAAGCAACGTGGATGGTATGTGATGCTGGATCTCTTGGCCAGAAATCATCAGATGCTCTAATAATTGCAGCCCGCTTGGCACTGAAACGCCAATGAAACTGAATCCTAAAGAAGAAGAAGAAAGAGGAAAGGACCTTCAAGAAGATCAAATTAAAGACTACGATGAGTACCTGTATAAGCCATCAGTGTTGTGGCTCATGCAAGATATTATTCCATTATCGGGGAAATTCTTGCTAATTGAAGTCTCTAAGGCCCTGTGATATTTTCTAGATAGACTGACTCTTCCACCATGCCCAGCACCAAGTGTTTCAAGGACACTTTGGACGTCAACCTTCACCCCATCAATACCAGCTGAGGCAAGGTATGAGTGAAGCTCATCATAGAAGCTGAAAACCTTTTCAGGATTCATAAGCCCAAGTCCATTTTTCATCATGGTTACCAAGGAATTATCCGGATAATCCACATGCTCATTTGATTGAACACCTGGGGATGTTTTTGGGTAGGCTAACTTGGGTTCGTAATGTTCCATATCAGCAACATCAGGTTTAACACCTCCCCAGTACCCTGTTATTGCATGCCACACATAAACATACCTATAAAGCAGCACAACCCCAATGAATTTTAGAACTGAATAAGTGCTTCTTAAAAAAAATGTAGTATAGAGTAGATAGGATGTGAATTAGAAATTGTACATACTTAATTGCATGATCTTCTTTAATCTCAGTTATAATGTCACGGAAGCCATCCTCCACTCTAGATCCTTCTTTACCATTCTTCTGGAATTTGTGATTCTCCTTGATATTAGTCAGCCTATTAGCAAAACTGCAAAGAAGAAAAAATATATATATTAAAAAGCAACAAGTTGCAGTCAGACCAAATCACTTGAAATGCCCAAATGACAAGCAAGGACACAATAGGTACAAGAACAAGAATAAAAGAGTGAATGAACACTCACTTGGCACAATTATCTTCTTCACATGGAACACTTTCGGAATCCATGGCTACCGATTACCATCCGTCATCAATGATAATAAACTTTAGAGAAACTCCACCCTTTTCGAAACTAAATATAAAGAATTGATGAATACAATCAGTTCACTGATCTACAATTCCAGTCGAGCAAATCATAGCTAGGCACTTAGGAAGTGTAAAATAGTTAATACCTTTGTAATCCTTCCTTGACTCCTTGTGAGGTAACATTGGTGTAAAATGCATCCCAAGTACACCAGCCAAACCAGTTGAGAATATCTGGCATCTGAACCATTTTACATCAGAGAAACTATTAGGACAACAATAAGATGTACACAAGGCTATACTTAAATCAGGAAATACTTTTTAGTAGAACCTCAACCACGAACTACGCAGTGTGAATTAATAATGTGATACCTTTTTTCTTTCGCGATGACAGAATGTCTGAAGATGTCTCTCTACACTCCTGCAGAAGAATGAGAATTTACATAAAGCATATCAAAGCAACAAACATCATCAATCAAAATAACAACATAGGAACATGAAAACAGACCAGAAGTGTAGTAAAAAGCTAATGAGAAGGATGTTTGAAGCTTACTTGACAGCGTTGGAGACGACATCAAAAGGGTCAGAACCAGCAGCCACATAGAGCAGATGAGTCCCATCAAAATTTTGAACCTGAGGACACCCTGGCATGGCAACAGTTACATGTGTTATCATCATGATATGTAAAGCTAATACGAAAGAAGTGAGTTTGACATTTATATACCACTTTCAAGGCATATTTGGAGCTCGTCTTGGGCGTTCCCTTGGAGCACAGCTCTAAAATTAGGTTCAATAATGGGCAAAAACACAGCATAGGTTTTGTTATTGGCTTCCACCATCAGAAATTGAGTTTCAAAAGGAATGTCTCTTCCACAATCACCCATTCTCTGAGTCATCCACCACAATTTGAATCTGAATACACACATAAAGCGCAACCCCCTGCGCGAATAAAATCTCCAATTAGATTACGAAATCAACAAACTTGAATTGAATCAATAGATTGTATTGTACTGAATTAAAATAATCTAACTCGGCAATATCAAACAAATCAGGAAAAAAAGATTGAGAAAACAAACAGGAGGTTGCCGACGGGGAAGACATGACGGCTTCCTGGACAATTGGAAGAAACGCCGATGAAAGCTCCGGCAGCAGAAGAATCTCCGGCAGAGTGATGATGAGTTAAAAAGATGTTGTGATGAATATTGGAGAGCACTTCATTCCCAAACACCACCAGCTTCTTATCCGCCGTAACATTGATTCCAGCTCCAATCGTCATCTTCTATCTTGATGATTCGACTCATAATGTTTTGGAGACAACAGACTTTGAAACAGTGGAGCAAGCTAGAAGCATCATATTTTCAACAAAATGAGCTTAATTACATTACCCCAAAGGCCCAAACTATAAATAAGCTTAATTAAACTGATTTTTCATTCTAACAAAATATTTAAGAATTTAAGCCATTAAAGCACAACTAGAGGCAAGAAGCCAAGTAGGAAATTAAGAAAACATCATGTGTTAAATACCAAGAAAATATCTACCTCTCAATCCGTTTTGCCTCTCCTAATCATAAATCATTATCTTAGGGGATCATTTCTTTATTTGCCATCATTTTATCAACCATTGTACACGCTCACTGTCCTCTATTACCATATTTGTCAATTCATTGTTTTTACTTAAACTACTCTCACCGTCACATAATATGTAAGACGTTGGATTTTTTTTACTATTCATGTATTAGCTTTGACCATAATTTTTTACTAACATATTAAAAACATATATTATCATAAAATATGTTGTTAGATAGGTATTGATATAAAGTTTCATAATATAATTTTTAAAATAATTTTTATTAATATTAAATTATATAAAAATAAAGTCAAACTAGTGCATTGACATGTGTACAATGTTGATTGTATCATGTATTATGAGACAGAGAGACTGAGGGAGTATATCTTAACTTTAGCTTTTTCCAAAAAAAAAATAATCTTAACTCAAGTTTGTGCATGTCATCTTCATTTTGGTTCTTACCCTTTTCAACACCACTATCAAATGCGTTCATCCAAATTAATTTGCATAACTAATATTATATTTAATTAATTTTTGGCACAATTGCTTGTAAAAAAAATAAAATAAAAAATTAATTGACACAATTATTTAATTAGTTAGTGTTTAACCAAAGTAGTTGATTAAAGTCTAAATAGTCATCATAAGAGTAAATCTCACCTATATCATTTATCCTTTTTACATCAGTTTTTGGTTACTTCAATCTAGATCGTGTCAATTAAAATTTGGTCACTTTGTTTGAAGTACAATATGCGTCTACTTGAAGCAAAATACAACCCTATATCATATAACAAGTTATTAATAAGCCTCTAGCTCTTGAATGAGCTACTTATCACGGTTAAGAGTATTAAGTAAATACTTCCTCCGTTATTTTTTATTTGATCCGCTTTGACTTTTAAACTATTCATCACTCCTTTTTTGACCGTATTTTGAGAATTATATGTAAGGAAAAAGATATTTATGTGACATCTTGTTAGAATTGTCTCAATAAATATTATCACAATTTATAACTTTTATAATTTTTATTTATAGAGAAATAAAGTTATTAATGGTTAAAATTGAGCATTGACAAACGTGATAAAAGAAACAGGTCGAGTAAAAAAAATAGAGAAAGTATTAAACAATAATAATAAGATAGTTGGGTTAAGTTGGACCAAAAAAGAATCTGATAGTATGGGGGACTCGAGAATCAAAACTATCAATCAGATTTATTTTTATTTAATTATGTATTTGTATACTGAGACCGTGAGACGTGAGAGTATAATAATTTTCAATAAAACAAATAAAAAAAAAGCTTGTTTATAGTGAATAAAAATTGGTCATAAGAAATTGGGACGGACCAAATGATATACTACCCCCGTTAACAGTTATTTATAACGATTTGAAATAAAGTAAAGAGGAAAAATGTCACATCGTTACAAATTTTTATTCACTATAAACAATAATAATAAGATAGTTGGGTTAAGTTGGACCAAAAAAGAATCTGATAGTATGGGGGACTCGAGAATCAAAACTATCAATCAGATTTATTTTTATTTAATTATGTATTTGTATACTGAGACCGTGAGACGTGAGAGTATAATAATTTTCAATAAAACAAATAAAAAAAAGCTTGTTTATAGTGAATAAAAATTGGTCGTAAGAAATTGGGACGGACCAAATGATATACTACCCCCGTTAACAGTTATTTGTAACGATTTGAAATAAAGTAAAGAGGAAAAATGTCACATCGTTACAAATAACTGTTAACGGAGGCAGTAGTTATTGCTTAATGGGGCCGTGGGAATGCTGCCTGTCATACAACATTTTTCAATACAAGTGTTCGGTGGATATTTGGAATATGGTTCTTAAACAAAATTTTGATTCTTATTTTTTTTTTTTTTTTTTTTGTGCACATTATGCTTATTATTATGATTATGAATATGATACCCCAATAATAACTTAATAAGAATATAAGATGATGTTTATGATTCATTATGATTTGGCATCCTGATTTTGTACTCAATTGTCGTGTCTCCGCGTCAGATTGATCAACATAGTACTCAATTGTACTCAATTACCATTTGAATCCCTGAAAGTCCCTGCTATACCTGCTGCTTTTAAAGGCGAAGAAAAAGAGACATCACAGTTGAGCTTCCACCAATTTTGTATTGGTGGTGTTCAGGAAGGAAGGGTGGGCAGATTGGTGTTTGAGGATGACAGGTTACTATCTCTTGAAGTGTGAAATTCCTAGGCTAAAGCTTGGGCTTCAAGGATAAGTTGGTCTTGTGGTTTTTGAGAGAGAGAAAACTCCTTCATTCTATGAAGCCAGAGCTTCCATATAATAAAGGAGAAGAGGGTTTTCCATGGGAGGGATATTGGAAAATCCGAAGGAGGGGGCATTTTGAGATTCTTTGTAAGCCAAAGCTCAATGGGGTGGGAGAAAAAATCAGGGTTGACATGAAAATTTCCCCAAATTTCTCATGCTACCGTACAATCCCTGAGAATATGGATAGAATTCTCAGGGGAGTAGTGGCAGCAAGCACAACTGTTATCAAGAACCAAATATTTATAGTTCTTGTTCTCCACTCTCTAGATTTTTCTACACTTGTATAATATTACATGTTTCTAGATATTTCTACATCACTTATCTATCGTGCTTTGATTGTAATCTACTCATGGCACATGATAGATAATATTGTATTACCTTATAGCTAGTTTCTATCATACCGTAACCTAATAAAAAAATTATAAATATCGATACCCTTTGAAATGATATAGGACTCTAGTTTCTTAAGTAGCTTTTAAGGAAACTTCCTATACATTGTTTTCAGCTATTGCAAGAGAAAATGAGCGAATATGTGTATGTATAATTGCTAAAACTAGTCTTGTGTATCACTACATCTAACTCACATTAATGGCATTTTTAGATTTTAATAAATGTTTGATTTCCAATTCTTAAGTTAGGTTTCGAGTTAATCTAGTTTAAGTTGCCATATGTTGTACGTTGGACTTGGAGCTTGCTTTCTCGTGAATTTATTGGAACATTTATTAATTATTATACATAGTATGACCAATAATTTATATTCATTTGTAGTCTATTAGTTAAGTTTACTTGGAAGAGGGACAGGGGTGTTGGATTTTTAACAATTAAACATTGTATTCGAAATGACGATTTAGGTAGACTCTCATGCATATTGAGTTATTGACACGTTATCTTTTGGGTTACAATGATCATGGGGCAAGACTCATCCTTTCTGGCCCATTGGGCCAATGTATGGGCCACATTAACATCAGACTAGTGACTATAAGCTATACAATGTCCAGGCCCATGTACATATTCACACAATATTTTGTTCCCATTGCAAAGTGGCCCTCTCACATAAGTCACATTTAAAATTATTGATTGGCTCATGGGCCGGTAGAATACTCCAAGGGAGTCCAAGCCCCCTCTTTTTCATGCTTGTGCATCATCAGATTCATCACCCATGCAAAAAAAAAAATGTCATCCAGGCCATTTTTTTTATTTTTAATGTTCAATTTATTTTCATTATTGATTCTTTGATATAAGAAGTGGGACGTAAAATTATGTTTTCTTTTGACTCATACATAAATTTGAGCACTTGGCCAAAAAAAAAATTCTACCTGCGTTGCAAATTTTGACAAAACAGGAGTTTAAAAGTAACAGAAAATTTCTTTCTTCATCAATTTCCTCTCATTAGCATTGTTTTTGCCGTGCTTTTAAGGGTTTGATTAATGTGCACACATTTCCATATATGAACACGGAAAGAGTGAAAGGGTGCATAACAATATCTACTGTACTCCAGTGATATCTAATACCTAATGGTTAAAATTGAAGGCATGTATATGATCGATAGATCACAGGCACCCATTTATAATTTATATTCGCACCAAAGAAAAATAATAATGATTATAATAAATTTAAAAAAATACTTGCAGCTGCTTTTAGCGTACATAAAAGTGGATAAAGGAATGATTGTTATTTCATGTGGACTGTTAGTCTGCTTTTGAAGAGATGCATGCACAATTCACAATAATGAATGAATTTGGTAGCGGACCTTATCAGTGTCATCCAGTATTAAGCAATCAGAGTTATAAGATGAGACATAAAATCGAGCTGGAGAAACACTTGAACAGTAAGCCACATGCCATGCTAGCTTGATTACATCTCCTGCCTAATTACATTATCCATCTATCCCCTCAAATTATTAATATGCACGTTCAGTTATACATCTACATCATTTTATTTTTTCTCTAATTATGTTCTCATCCTTAACATTAGACAAGTACATGGAAATACAAATACGCGCATGCATTTTGCTTTTTTTCTTTTATATCATAAGTCATCTACAATACATTAAATCCTTGTGTAATTAATAAGACATATATATACAAATTTTAATTTTTTTTCAAAGGGTAAAGAAAAGGGGTAATGGATGTACAAGTAGTATATGATCTAGAAAGATTGAAGCAGGTGAAGGAGGAGTGGAGGACTGGACATACGAAAATGACAATAAGATAGAAAAAGACCAATAAGCTTAGTTCCCTTAAATGGAATTTGGATGATTACATTTACATGATTGCTTCCAAGCTAAGCCAGCCAGCCTCAACCTGATCCAACTCATATTCATGACCCCAAACAAGGACGTTACTATTTTTATCAACACCCCTACCATTTACTTCTCTTCTACGATCTACTATTATTCTCAATTTTTATCTATCCCTATTTACCTCTATACTCTTGTTCAACCATCTTCTTCACTCAACAGATACTCTACTTTATGTGTCATTTTATTTTCAACAATAATTCTTTGTTTTCTTTTGATACAAAATGAGGTATATATCATCATATTGTTGGAATGATGATTTTTCGCTAGTGTCATCTCATTATCATGATACCACGGTTTTTTTTTCTTAACCTAGATAATCCTTAAAATTCGACGTAAGTAACAAGTCTTGCTCACTAGTAACATGCTTCGTTTTTATATAGGCATTATGGAAAGCCGTAAGCCCACTTCCAATTTTAATTAGTAATGTGCTTGCCACACTTGTCCATAATCACTCCTTATCTTCGGGAATGCTACATTATATTACTTTTCTTAACCCTTTTCACTGCGTTAGTGGTGTTGTAAAATTTTTATGTCCCTCACAATAAATTCAATTCAAAACTTTAATTTTAGATTGGTAAAAATGCTATGTGATGGATATATGTTAATATACAATCCGAATCTTGTTCTTTTGGTTTTTACCCATACCCCTGCTCAATTCACACCCCTAGGACTTGAAGTCTTATGTTACGGAGTGCTTCATATTTAACCATACCCTATGGTCCAGTGTATTATGTTGTAGTATGTTTAGTAACTTCCTTAATAAATTTAGATAGGTACGTAGATGAATTTATTTAATCCCTTATAAATCCACAAGTAGGTTTTAATGTTTCATGCCTCTTGGACGTAAAAGAAGGATTAAAATTTTATGTAAGTTGATTCTTTAAATTAAAAAAGTAATACTACTAGTTTTTTACTCCATAAACTTTAAGCCATAACATACAATTTTTACAATTAAACAAACCTATCAAATACTACTTGATTGTAGGGTTTAATTTGTAGTTCCTTAATTTTATTAAAAAAAAAAAAAAAAAAAAAAAAAAGAAAAGTAACCTTTTTCAATTCATTAGTTTTCATATATATGGTATAATAAGCACTAGTAGTATAATACTAATTGACATCAAGTAGAATCATTTCGTAAGAAAAATGATCACTAGAAAAGTAGGAATTTGATTTTTTTTAAAAAAGGAAAAAGAAAGAAAGAAAGTAAAAGATGTAAAAGGGACAATACAAATAATTGTAGCTAAGATAGTGAGAGTATTGTATTAGTGATCCAAATTAAAGTGATCCCAAATATCCCTATCGCAATCTCACAACGAATGGTAATCGGGAGACATGTATTTTTAGTTTAAGGAACATATTTCAGACATTTATAGGTCTTCTAGAACACCTTAAGGACCACACACACTCACACAAAACAAAAGTGAATGTCGACTTAATTCTCAACTTGGCAACCAAAGTAAGCCCTTTTTTTAATATCTATGTTTTTGACATTGATATTAATTAATTTTCTATGTATTATGGATTTCTCCTAACTGAATTTATCATAGTTATTGTAGATTTGTAACTGCGATTTGCATTGCATTATTTAGAGATAATTATGTTTTCCGGGTTAGGTCACTTTCGCTCAGGTGTAGTTCCAAAAAAAATATGAAACCATTTTGCAAATTTATGCGAGAAATATTTAGATTACAATATATATTATGATAAAATTTGTTTTTTTATACGTTACTAAAAAAAATAAAAAAAAATAATGGTCAAATTTAATACGAAGTATATAAATAGTGAAAAAATGTCAAATATATCAATTATTTAGGAACGGAGGGAGTATAATAAAGAAGCATTTGATTATCTTTATATCACGCTTTCATTACTAACTTCACTTCGGTCTCCATCCTACAAAATATAATTTTTCTTAAGTTACGTGTATGTGTCAAGCCTATTATTGAGATGTTGATAAAAATAAATAGACCTAAAAAAATCACGTAAGCACAGTACAAAGCCTTGGTTCTGGAATTGGGGATTCTGGGTATACTGAGCTAGAGTTACGGAAGTATGGAAGGTTATGATAAATGCGAGAGAACCATACACGTGAGTTATGTTGGTGGGGCCCATGGGCTTCTAGAAACCATTTGCAAACTGAAAAAGCCCGTAATTCCGCTTTAAAATTAATTGGCGCCGGTTGTTTAGCAATTAAAGCTCATGGATTTTATAAGCCTTAGCTTGTACTGAATGATGTATCCCATTTGCCAAAGTTCATGTGCCTAAACTATCTTACTTGTATCATTTTGCCATACTAATAACTTTTTAACATTTTTTTACCATTTGACTTCTTTTGTCTTTTCAAAAATACTTCATTAGGGCTTCGTACTTTGTAAGAAAATAATGTTCTATCACCCCTATTTTTGTTTCTAATAATTACGGAGTATGAGTGAGCATGTTTTCATTAGAGCTGTTAACTGGTTTGAAATTGGATTGATAACAGAGAGCTTAATTTGCTAGACCCAATTAGACAACATATCATATTTCAAACTTTAATCTTTAAAAATTAAGTTTAACCATTATTCTACTACCTCTGTTAACTTTTAATTGCAACATAGGGGTATTTTTTTGTGAGATATGAGATATTTTTTTGTTGCGACTAAAAATTAATAAAGCTCAAGTCAGCAAGAATTATGAGGGGCTTAGGGTTTGGCTCGAAGAGTATCCTTATGACTCATGAGTTTGTAATAGCTGATGTTTTAGCTCTTATTAATTAATAAAATGGTTCTATGCTTTCCGTCGAAAAAAAATAAATAAATAATGAAGGTAGTATTTTAAAATGAAATGAGTATGTATTTACTAAATTGAGTTGCAATATAGCTATACAAGTAACAATGTAATTCTCAAATTTGAATAAACATAATGATCATTAAGACAATAGAAATAAAATTTAGTATAAAGTGGTTAGAGATAAGAAAGAGGAAGATGAGGAGATAATCCATGATCTAAGGTTGTGAAGGATGAGTATGAAATAAAGATGACAATGGAAATGAAAAGGACAATAGGTTCTAGAACACTTCCAATTGAATTGAATACAATAAATAGACATGAATGAAAAACAATGACCCCACCACAAGCCAACATGGAAAAAGTTGCAAACCTATCCAATGACCTACAGTTAGGGGTGTACACCGGTCCAAAACCGAACCGGACCTGGACCAGACCTGTTTGGACCGGGGACCTGAATTGGGTAATTATGAGGACCGGGGACCGGATTCAGGTCCGGTTCCGGGCCAGACCTGAAAAATCAGGTCCGGTCCAGGTTTAGACCTGAATGGACTTGTTTTGTGTTTTTTTCGTTTTTTTTTTTTTTTTAATAAAAAACCTATTGGACTTGCATATGGACTTGTTTTGTGATTTTTAGACCTGTTGTATAATTTAATAATTACATACAAACCAAAATTATCAATCACAAAACTAAATAAAGTCTATAAAGTCCCGATTCTCAAACACCAAAAATACAATTGAATCCACCGAAAATACAAATAAGTCCACGAAAACTCATAACATTACATAAATTCTCTTAAGTCTCAACTCTCAAAGTCTCAAGTACTAGAAATACATAAATTCTCCAACGAGTTGTTTTCCCTTTGATCGCGTGATTCACACTAATGAGTCCACGAAAACAACTTCATCGTCTACATCGTTAGATTCACCACGTTGCACCTCTAAATAAAATACAATATAGAATATATTAATGATTGATAACAATGAAATAATAAATTTGGTGTAACAAAATTTCAAGTACATAAAATTATTACTACCTTTCTCTATTTCCTCTAACTCTTTCAAATTTTCTTCCACATCAACAATTGGCACTTCCTTAGCTCTAAGCCAATCTTGTGTGCAAAGTAGCGCTTGAACCATCTTCAATACAAAAATATTACACAAATTTGGCTTAAACAGAGATTCAAAGGCTGTGAATCTGTGATAGTGTGATCAATTCTAAAACCTGAACCCTAAACTCAAAAAAACCAAAAAAAAAAAAACATAAATTCGAAGACAAACCATGCTTGTTATCAATTCTAAACCCTAAACCCTAAACTCAAAAAAACCAAAAAAAAAAACATAAATTCGAAAAAAATTCGAAACTAAACCATACTTCTTATCAATTCTAACCCCTAAACCCTAAAACCGTAAACCCTAAACTCAAGAAAACCAAAAAAAAAAACATAAATTCGAAACAAATGAACTAAAAAAAAGAAATTCAACATGCAAACATCAAACAATCATTATAAGCAATTGAAACATGAATAAACATATAAATTCTAACACTTAATTCATTATTTTGAATACAAAATACCCAAACATAATTAGATAATTTAGATTTACATTAAAAAAAAAAAAAACTTACCGGAGAAATGGAGAATCGCGCGGCAGCTGTCTCATGCGGTGGGCGCCTGGGCTTCGCCTGAGAGAGTGAGGAAGGCAGGGAGGTGTCACTGTCGGCGGTGGGCGTTGGGCTGACTGGCTGAGAGATAGTGAGAGTGAGGGAGAGGGGGAGACAACCAGGGAGTTTGGAGATTGGAGTCTTGGTGATACCGTTAGGGACTTAGGGTTAGAAATGAAAGAGAACAGAATCGTCAGTTCGTCACTCAAGCAAAGCAGCAAGCAGCGTTAATTTGATTTTTGATTTATTTTTATTTTTATTTTATTTTTTAAAAAAACTACAATTTTTCCGGGTTTCAGGTCCGGACCTGAAAACCCCGGGTTTAGACCGGGTCCGGACCGGAACCGGGAACCTTGATTTTTAAGGACCGGGACCGGACCTGAATCAACAGGTCCGGGTCAGGTCCGGTCCAGTTTTTGTACACCCCTACCTACAGTACCCTCCTTCGTATTCTCATTTTTCAAAAAATAAAAGTATTCTTAATTCCTTGACAAAAAAAAAAAAAAAAAAAAAAAAAAAAAAAAAAAAAAAAGAGAGAGAGAATCTGGCAAAGTCCTATAAATCTGAGAGAAGTCACACAAAAGAGGTTGTGACACACATCATTCATATTTCATACACCATTTCCTCTCCTTCTTCTTCTCCGCCAATTTGGCTATTTCCCCTCCTTTCTAAACCTCCCTTCTATTTCTATATATCTATAGAATTATACTTCTTTTCATATAACAAGTATAATTTTTTTATATGATGCAGACCCTAAATTTCCCCTACAATCCGCCGACGCCGACGCCATCAAATCATCGATTCCGATGTAGAGCCGCCGTACAATCAATATCTCCGCCGATGCGTAAATCCGGCAGCTTATACGAAGTTCTCCGCATCAACCGCCACGCTTCCGCCGTTGAAATTAAGGCGGCGTATCGGAACTTAGCGAAGCTCTATCATCCAGATTCTTCTTCGTCTTCTTCTTCTTCCAAATCGGACGGTGGTGATTTCATCCAGATCCATAACGCCTACGAAACTCTCTCTGATCCTGCTGCTCGAGCTCTCTACGACTTGTCGTTAGGGTTTGGAATTGGAATTGGAATTGGAATTGGAATTGGAATTGGAGAGAGAGATTCAAACTCGTCGTTTTATACAGTTGGTCGTCGCCCCACCCGAAGGTGGGAAACGGATCAGTGTTGGTAGGCATTACTTTTTTTCTATTTAAGACAATTGACAATTAGTATGAATTAGTAGTAGGTAGTATGAAATGAGCTATCAAGGAGTTGTATTATGAATTCATTACTCCTGTAAAAAAAAAAATAATGTTTGATCTTTCTCTTTGAAGAATGAAGATCAAACAAAAAACCATCAATGTACATTCTTCATCAATCATCATCCTTTTTTTTTTCTATAAAAGTGGTTAATTTTGTGGAATTCATGAATTGGCAATGATAGAGTGATTAAAGTTTGAAAATTTGGTTTGGTGGAGGGTAGGACTTTAGTTTAGGCCAATTTTTGGTGGATGACAAAACTTTTATCAAAAGTACAGTACTCCACTTGTTAGGAGTACTATTCGGATCATCAAATCACAATTTCCGATGTAATTGTTCCTTACTTATAGCAAGCCACCCAAATTTTCCGCTGCATTTTGTAATTTAAGAATAACTTGCTACGTTATTTTAGTTGAAGTTGAAGTTGTTGCCTTATTAGTTGCTCCGTGTTAGTTATTTTAGTTGTCGATGCACAACTTATTCCATAAATATCTTAAAATATCTCTTGATAAACATTGTAAATTATGAAAAGTACACATTAAGACTTAGGGAAGTATTTCATTAAATATCTCTAGAGGAGCATTATGAAAAGCTCAGTGCACAATACAATTTGCAAGTATAAACTACATGTTGGTAAGAAAGTAAATCAATGCGCCGCATGACCAAAGAAAAGTAGTGCTGTAATGGAGCATTCTTTTAGGGAAATCATAAAAAAACAAAAATAGTGCAAGTTATTAGGATTCAGGAAATATCTAAAAGTTATGAGCACTGAATCAGCAAAAGACCTATATTATCTGACTAACATCCTGGCAATTTTGGTGCCCCAAAATTCTGGAAATATTGTTGTTGCGTGACTTCCTTTACGGATCTACACAATAGATCTAATGCACGCTCCTAAACAAAAGATACTGATTTTTATAAATAATTGTCATTACTATTGTGTGATTTGAATCATCAACGAATCTCAGCTACGTAACAACCAAAATCAATGCATAGGTGGCAATATGGCGTAATTTTGTTGGCAAGGTTTTGTTCAGGTCCGTTTATTTAGTAAGGTTATAAAGTGAGTAAATATAAGAATAACTTTTTATGTAATGGAGAAAAGCGAAAGTGTAAAGAACTTCTCTAGGAATAAAATTTTTGATGCATTCTGATGCAACTCTAATGAAGGCACAAAATCGAGATGGAGTTGTTTTCCATCTTACTTTTATTTCTCCAATTAATTATAAGCCTTAATCAGCAGCATCAAGTTCATCTTTTCATAGCATGTATAAAAAGTAAAAACTACTAAACCATACATCATTCCAATTTCCAAGTTTCCAACCCTTGACAAGAGGGAGAAGAAAAACAAAAGTACGCACCTATACATAATATCCACCTTCACAGTCAAAATCAACAGAATAACTTGAAACAACAGGTACAATGCATGGATCATTTACAGGTCAGCAACATGGCGTTGATGACGTGCATGACAACCCGGATGCTCGACAACTCTGAGGATGAGGTAGTAGGAAGGCTACGTTGATGGTTCAATATCTGGTAAACCTGCTCCAAAATCGGACGCACATGCACTGCAATCATTGGGTCATGCGGGTGTATGCATGCAGCGGCATCTGTCATCCACGCTAACTTCCTAGCTGTATCCTTTGTTATATCACAAGAAAGCTGCTGAAGAAGTGAGAGTAAAACACCTTGACTCAAAGGCAATGGCATCGTTGACAAAAGACGCTGTAGATCAACCTGGTAGCCACATTGAGCAAATAACTACATGAGCATCTATCTTAATACAGTATCAAGACAGCCAATTAAGAGTTATACTGAACTGCAAATGATTAGGCAATTAATGAAAGCAATGACACTATGACTGACTACGCTGATAAAATGTGCAATGCCAAGTTTCAAGCCACCACAGTCAGCAATCCACCGAGATTATCCACAGAAACAAATAATCTAAGGTACCTAAAAGGTCTTAGCATAGAGCAAGAGAAATAAACAAATTACTCAAAATTCATCAAACAAGGCAGAATTTTTTTTTCCCCTTCACTTTCTGCTTCCCAAAATTTAGTATAGAAAAGTGTACCCAGGTGCCATCTGGCAAAATGAAAAGGTGCAGCGCGTTCCAAAAGACGTGCACCTCACGCTGCCTTGCCTGGGCTGCCTTTTGTTATGATGCGAACGAAAGAAGAAATCTATTTTGAGGGGAGAGATCAGAATTTTAAACGAAGGTAACATTTTTTTTAATTTTTCAAATACTGAGCAAAGTTCACCTTCATGTGCCTCCTACTTTTTACCCATCTTTTTATTCCTTTCAGCAGCCTCTCTTCAGTCACCTTTTCAATTTGATTATTTTCCTCCCTTATTGTTTCACTGTGGTGCCAGGTAGGAACCCCAACGACCAACCCCACTAATACTGATTGAAGTAGTCAAGTGTCCTCTATAAAGTTTTAAAAGTAATGTAACATTTTCATGTGCGCCTCGCACCTTTTAAAACTAAGCCTATACTATTTTATTCTTACAGTATAAAGAATTATACTGGGTATCAACAATTTTCCACATGCAAAGCAAATGCAGGAACTGTTTCTGCTATATAAACAAGTACTAATTCACCTAATCATCTCCTATCAGGCTGAATTCAGCAGCAGCAAAGAGCTTTTCACATCAACATGGTATCAAACATAATGTCTACAAAAACAAATGAACAAAAACTAATACTACATTTCTCTGTATATGAAAAGAATCGGTATAAGATGTATTTCTAAAATATTGTCTTAAAAACTATTCTATATTTCACTCAACCCTGTCTCTCCTTCAGTCCTTCCCCTCCTTTCTTTTTCTGTATCAAGCTTTTAATCAATCTCTTTACCCATCCACTCAGGTTTCTCTCCCTCTTCCCCTCTACTGCCACCTCACTCAAACAGCCAATTAGAAATTTATACGTGAAACAACAGTTGAAGTCCCATTCATCAGGCATATTTACTATATAAAGTACATCTAATATATTTTGTGGCATTTCCAAATCCCAAAAGCTAGTATTCAACCAAACATTATCCCCTGAAAATTCCATGGTTCCTAGACAGGGAAGCAGACACTGGACAATCAGAAATAATAGTACTCCGTATCAAATATCTAAAATTGTTTACCAACCCTACATGCTCTATCGGCCAATCTTAACCAGAATAATGTATCATATAGGGAACTTCCAAGCTTTACTGGAATACTTGTGATGACGGTTAGCAGATATAGAATTACCTAACCAGACATTATTTGAAATTAACTAATTTATAATCATTATTTTTCTACTTTTACCATGCCTATTATCAGGTGTCAATTCAGCATAAACGTTGTTTCCAAAGATTGCATGGGATAGCATACATTAGCATTTGAGCTGTTTATATTCAACTGATAGAGCTAAAACTTCGACCAATATTCAATAAGTACAAAAAATTAAAAAAAAAAAAAAAAAAAAAAAAAAAAAAAAAAAAAAAAAAAGAAGCCATACCTGTGAGCATAACCAGGAGACGATGGTTACATCACTTCTTTGCAAAGCTGCAGTAAATGCCTCCTCATATTTGTGTTCAGAGATGAGTCTAGATAGCTCTTTTGTCGGATCAAATGGCTGCTCAACCTATGACACACATGAGATTGCTCAATATCCAAGCTAACCAAACAAAACAATCCTCTTAATAGACATACTTCTTCCTGTTTTTATTGTTCTACTTTAATATTTACGTTTGTCAAGCACAACTTTGACCATTAATATCTTTAATGGCATAACGGTAAGAAGTTGATAATTTGAAGATATACATTAAGACAAAGTAACACTTCGTAACAGTTCCCACAATAACAATTTTTTATTTATAAAAAGTATAATAGTAAAAATAAAATGGTCGAAGTGTGGTACGTGAACAGTGCAAAGGTCAAATGCAACAGATAAAAAGGCCTAAGAACCAACAAAGCCTAGAACTATTAGTTAACCAATCCTTTAAGAGGCATAAATTAATTAGCGGACCTTCTCATGTAGACCCGGCAAAGGTCCATTGCTCAATTGGGTGGCCAGCGTATTTCCTGCTTTGGAGTTTGCACCAGCAGCTGCAATAGCAAACAACTTCCTCTGATTATCAGCCAATTCTCCGCTCAAGGTTTGAGTCAGCGATGAAGCTGAAGTTAGAGCGTCCTGCATGATCGAAAATGAGTGCAGTGTTAGCAGCAATATGTACATAACATATCGAACAGGAAAAAAAAAATTTAAAAAAAAAATCTTTTGACGGTCCTTCACCACCCTAAACTAGTGTTTTTAGCCATTATGAAAGACCAAGTGAAAGAGGAAAAAATGAAGATGATGCAGCAAGTGCAACATCCAACAAACATGAAACAGCGGTATATAAATGCAATACAGTGCAGAGCCATTTACAGGTTGAACAGAAAATGAGAAGAACAATGACTAGATTCGCCATCAATTCCTAAGAAAAAAACTTTCTCACACATGCCTATATTGAACATTCAGAGCATCACCTAACTGACAAACATCTCATAAGACAATCCTGTATGATTATTTAGAACAGCTTCTATTGTTAATAATTAAAGAAAAGAAAAGAAAATAAAACAAAACAGAAAAGGCACTTCTTAACACTCCATAACTCAAAATTCTTCACCAAGAAAGATTGACAACATTCAGAAAAAAATAATCAATAAAATTATAAAAATACAACCTAAAAGTAGCAATAAGAAATAATATCAGAACAATAGAAGCAAACCACATTTATTTTAATTATTATTAAACGGAAAAAAAAGCAAATTCATATTATTCTAAAGTCTTAACTTGAAAAACAGAATGATGCCACCTCTAACTCACAAATCAGACTTTGGACATTATTTTGTAAGCCCAGGACTCTATAGGGATATTTTGCAATTATATATTGTATATACAAGCTG